CCGCGTCCCCTCAGGGAAGCTCTACTGTCGGCTGGTGCACCTGGAAGGAGAGCAAGTTGCTGTGCAGATCCAGGACACGCCGGGCTGCGTGCAGGTAGGGACACGAGCGTGCTGAACCTTCACGCTGCTGCTGTTCAGTCCATTTAATTTAATTTAATTTAATTATTTATTTATTTATAACTCCAAACCCTGTAGATTCTATTGGATTCTGAGCTTTCTGGTGGGCATTGCGCTCAACTTCTCTTCCTGAGGAGACTCCAAGCACACATAGCTAAGTGATCCAAGAACGAGCACTAGAAGTCCCCAGTTCTGGCTTGTCTAGTTAATGATATCTGCTCTTCCCTGCTGCTTAAAAGCTCTGCTTTTGAGCCTGAGTTCCTTAAAGGAAAACAGCCAGGGTTAGCATCTCCTCAGACAAAGCTCAGCTTCCCCTTTGGAGCTGCCTGTGTTAAAAGCATTATATTTTCACAGTGGAATGTGAAATTTCTACTCTGTAATACTGCAGGTGCAGGAGGACCCCGTGCAGATGCTGGATGCTCTGTCCAGATGTGCGAGGTGGGCAGAAGGCTTCCTCCTGGTCTACTCCATCACAGACTACAGTAGCTACGAGTCGATTCGGCCTCTCTATCAGCACATCCGCAAGGTCCACCCGGACACGAGGACTCCCATCATTATAGTGGGAAACAAGGCGGACCTTCTCCATGCGAGGCAAGTGCAGACAAAAGATGGACTGCAGCTGGCAAACGAACTGGGCAGCCTGTTTTTAGAAATCTCCACGAGTGAGAACTCCCACGGTGTCTGCGATGTTTTCCAGTATCTTTGCAAGGAAGTCAGCAAAATACACCACAGCAGCAGCACAGACAAGAGGCGGTCATCCATCATCCCTCGGCCCAAATCTCCCAACATGCAAGATCTAAAAAGACGTTTCAAACAGGCTTTATCTCCCAAGGTCAAATAAACCCCACTGCTGAGTTCAAGTGTGACTTAATAGACTTCTTATTTTTGTAAACTAGTTAATAAAAATATTTATTTTTGTACTAATGCCAGAGATGTGGAAGTAAGTATGTTGAAGCTTCCTTTTTTTCTTGCCATTCTCTTCTATTCAACTGTTTTCTCTCTATATTTATTTTTTTAATTAAAAAAGCTGCATAGCAACCAAGTAAAAATCTCTGGTGGATGGACAAGAGGAATTTGTTATGAGACTTTGATTCCATTTCTATTTTGGTCTTGGATTTGCTTCTTTCAGTTACTCAAATTTCTTCTCTTCTTGGGCCTTTCTTGCTTGTAAATTTGGGATGACGATGATGTAACACTCACTTGCCTTTATAAAAATACTTGGAAAGCCTTAAATGGAAAGTTTTATATGGAAGGGGGTGGAAAAAAAGCATTATTAAACATGAAAAAATGAAACTGTCTGTAATAATTCTTCTTATAATAGGATCTCTCTTCCCTCCCACTCCCCTTCAAAAACTCCTGTTTTGCTAGCCTATCGTTCTGCAATAAGTGTTGTTGTCACATTATATGGGTTAAGTGGCTAAAGACAGAAGTGTGTTCTTACTCATGAAAGCAGCTGCTGAAAGCTGTGTTGTCCTAAAATAGACCTTTCTGTCTGTGAAGCTAACAACCATGAAATGATGGAATCAAGTTCCTGTCCTTCAGTGTTGCTTCCAGTTTGTGACTACCTGAGTGATGAGCTGTTACAAATGAATTTTAATTTTTGATGTGCTGTACTGCTCACTTTACAGATCTATCCCACCAAATTAATCTCTTGAGCCTGATGCTTTTAACATGAGGGTTGAGTTCCCTGTACAAATCATCGTGGGCCAAAGTGCTGAGCAATCTGCTACGATGATGTGTGGGATTGCTGCTACTGTCTCTGGAGATGTGTCATAGGAGGCACTGATGCATAGGTTCTCTTAACAGGAAATAGCTACAGTTAAAAGGAATCATAGCTTTCTTTTTTCCCGTGTGCAATTTTGCAGCTCTTTAGAGGCAGCATGAAACATTTGCTTCATGTAAGCTCAGCATCATGCTAGAATGGTTTTAAAAATTATTTTAAAATGTCCAAACATGGCTAGATGTCCAAACATGGAATGTGTTTTGAACTTACCAGATATGCCTCTAAGGTGTGTCCCTCTCCCTCCCTGCAGACGGACTGCTGTGCTTTGCCAGCACCTGCCACTTCTGTCCACTTGGCCCTCAAACGTTGCGGGCCACCTACGCTCGCGATGTGCTCAGCAAAACCGTGCTCATGGTGCTGGTGGACAAGGGAGGGGGGCCTGAACATGGTGACCACATTGCTGTGGGAGCAATCATTAGAGGGACCCATGTTAGCTCTGGGTGGTTGTGAATGCTGCCAGCTGTATCCGCTTCCAGGGCAAATGCACGACCTAAACCCAGGCGCAGTGCTGGCACTTGTCTTTGGAGACTCTGTACTGCTCTACCAAAGGTCCGTGAAGGGAAGGGATGCAGCTCCAGGCCTACAGGAACAGAGCATCATTCCCTGTTCTTGAAAGAGGAACTGCAAACTGGGTCAAAACCTTGTGTTTAATTAGAGGATGTGCAAAAATCATGCTGATAACCTGCATGAATCAAAGTCCTGTTTGAGATGCATCTGCAAGATTTTTTCATGATGAATCCTTACTGAAGGAGCGGGTCTGTGGACTCAGGCAGTTGAGGGGACACAGGGGAGATGTGTTTAAGGACAAGTCTGTTCTTAGCAGGTTCAGACTTGCTGTGCAGGCTGTCTAGTCATGGGAAAAACTGAAAGGGCTAAAACTCAAAGCGAGTTGAAAAATCAGAAGCTGATTATTTATCTATCACTTCATTATACTCCAGATAGGGTAAACAAACAAAACATCACTGTGATATGTTCTTTTATTATTCATTTATTTTTGTTTTTTAACCATACCTTTTGTCTCTGGGAAGTAGTTTGGTGAAACAGAGCATGCAGCATGAGTGTTCCAGGTTTGAGATGCTAAAGGATGATTTTACACCTTCAGTATTTTTTCTCTAAGTGGGTGGCTGGACATGCACAAAATATGGCTCCGGGTTATGTTTTCTGTCATGGCAGAGCTGCTTTATAGCGTTTCTGCCTTCTTCCTGGTCCCACTCTGTCCTTCCTGTGGTCCCCATGGAGGAGCCACGTGGTGCCACATGCCGGCCAGCAGCGCCGAGGGCCGCTCTGTGGAGGCGGGATGGAGCGATGCAGGGGCAGGACACCGCTTTGCTGGCCACAGGGCTGCAGTGCCCGTCTCTGGGAGACCCCAACGTCCTGATCATTGAAGCACCATGTCCAGGAGGTGCAAGTGCCCTGTCCTCTACGCACAGCCCCGCGCTGGCAGCCAGCCTGGCCTGGCTGTGCTGTGGCACCGGATGAGGCCCTGCCAGGGGTGTCGTGGAGCTTTACATCCTCATTAGCTTTTGTAGGACATATACTTTGTGCCCCAAACAACCCCAAGTGATCCCTGGATCACTCTTTTGGGTTTGGGTGCATGTTTTACCTCAGGAAACTCTCTTGGTTCAAGGAAGTTGTTGCTGAGCCAGCGCAGCCAGGAGAGACCCAGCCTTCCTCTTAGATCAGGGGAAAGCAGACCTCTACCTCTTTCCTTCCACCACCCCAGCTGTGAAAGACCCTCATGGCAACATCCCTAGATAAGGAGGACGAGTGGGATTTCAGGAGCTGGGACGCATGTGGCAACACACACTGTTACTGATGCTCTTCCATCAGCATCCTCCTCTGTTGGGCAATTTTTGCCTAGTTACTTCCCAGAAGTGAAAACATCCTCTAATGCTTTAAGGCTTCATGGATTTTA